CGGACCGTGGCTTGTTTTTGGCTTTGGCGCAATATGTCGGGAGAGAAGATTATCCACGTAACTGTCCCGAGGAGATTTCACAAAGGTGCGCCACGTTATTCTTGCGTTGCACCAGCGCAACGCAATAAAGAAGCGGAGGCTTGAATAAGAGATTCGAGTCGCTTTGTCAAGAAGGCAAATGCAGCTAAACGGCCTGTAATAGGACCGGAATCAAACTACAATTGTCTAGCGAACATTTGGGGAAAATGTTCACAACGACAGACGAATCTGTCCAAGTTTTTTTCTTCACATTGTTACAGGGAAGATTGAAATAAGCGTGAAAGTGGAACGTAACGTTCTCATTCATCTTTCTAAACTCGCCAATACCCTTGAATTTTTTTTCTACTTTAACTAAAATATTGAAAGATATCGAACAATATTTGATCTGCAATAAAAATATAACGAAGCAAGTGTTATAGGTATGAAAAACACATATTTTCAATCGTTACTGAAATTCAAAGCTTGTTTCATTTATTTTTTAATCTAAAAATCTTAGATTATTTGTTCGTTCTTCTTAATGAAAATGATAGGGGAAATGGGTGAAAAGGTCGATTTGTCTAAACAGCTGGTTACGGGCTTGGTATCAAAATACAACTGTCTGGCATCACACGGTGAGCTTACAGAAACTGGTACAGAAACTTAGCGTACTTGTGTTCAGTGAATCGCGTGAGGGGACTGTTGCCGTTTCAGGGGGGACAAATGGATGGTGGTAGCTTATACAGTGGAATATAATGTTATCTGCCTCACTTCGTACAAAACGCAAAGGCAATGCATGATTATTTGCTGGAAAATGTAATCTTTCGGTTTAATTGAAGTTAAGAGTTTTGCTCTTTTCTAGATGTTTCAGACATTTTACAGATACCATCAAGTTTTAGTTTCTTTTCCCTGTTTAAGATTTAAACGACAAAATTTTGATTAACATTTTGAATTAATTGTTTGAACAGTTACTTGGACTGTTGCAGGAAATTGTTTATAACGATTTATTTCGTGTAAGAAGGAGTGTTGAGGGAAGGGTGTTCGAGAGATTAAGGAAAGGTAAGCTCTGTGTCTACTAATAAAACATAACTCTCGGTTTCTGTGTAATATATCTGATATATTTCAAATGTAAGTAAATACATAGGCAAAATATATTACTTTACACTATTAATAGAGGTAAATATCTATTGTTATATCTGCATTTTTAACTGTGTTTGCATAAATGCTCTTAAATTATATTTTGAATAATGTGATAATTAGAGCTTAATTTACAAGAGCAATCTTATCTGCATATTTTAATTTCTTACATGGTCTACTATTTTTCAAGTGTTTGCCAAAGTAGTTTAAACTAACTTTCTCTTCAATATTTCTCCAATATCACATAACTTTTATACAAAACACACCATAAGTTAAACAAAAAATTTTATTTAATCTGCATATTTTAATTTTCTACATGGTCGTCCCTTAAACTAATTTTTTCTCCAATTTTACATCAGTATCACCTTTATACAAAATGCACGTTTATACGAAATTTATACATTCATCAACCTCTCTCAAAAATATTTCACCGTATAAACCTACACCCTCGAATAACCTCACCCAAAATTTTCAGCATCCAATAGGCTCCACCTCGACGCCGAGCACCGCGAGAAACAGCGATTCATCGAGTCTCATTAGACGCGTAGATTACCGTTGTCCCCGTGGAAACACTTTTGTACCGGTGCAAAGGATCTTCCTCTCTGCGAGAGGCACTCGCCAGATAAACGCTGAGAGATAGGGCGCCGATAATAGGGTCAGTTCGTAAGCAGCACAAAGCCAGTTTAGTACAAGCTCCTGGCCTAATCGTGCCACCAATATTGTCGTTAATTCGTTCGACCATCGATATGGACAAAGAGTTATATAAGTAATGGGACGACGGGTGGTCCAGT